TATACTCTTAGTTATTTTAGAAATCTCCATATTGATTTCCATAGAAGTTGTACACTTTTACAATCCCACCAACAGTGTATAAGCAATCCCTTTTAGTTAAATCCCCACCAACATCTACTGGTTTTTGATTTTTTAATAATGGCCATTCTGATTGGTGTAAGGTGATATCTCATTGTGGCTTTAATTTGCATATCCCTGTTGATTAGTGATGTTGAGCATTTTTTCATGTGTTTGTTAGCATTTGTATATCTTCTTTTGAGAGATGTCTGTTCATGTCATTTGTCCACTTTTTAATGGGGTTATTTGTTTTTTTCTTGCTGATTTGTTTGAGTTCTTTGTAGATTCTGGATGATAGTCCTTTGCCAGATGTATTGTTTGCAAATATCTTCTCTCATTCTGTAGGTTGCCTATTTACTCTGTTGATCCTTACTTTAGCTGTGCAGAAGCTTTTTAGTTTAGCTATGTCCCACTTATTTATTTTTGTATTTGTTGCATTTATTTTTGGAGTCTTAGCCATCCTTTTTTTTTTTTTTTTTTAACCAAGGCCAATGTACAGAAAATTTTTTCCTAGGCTTTTTTCCTAGAATTTTTACAGTTTTAGATTTGCCATTTAGGTCTTTAATCATCTTGAATTCATTTTTGTATATGGTGAGATATAGGAATCCATGTGAGAGGCTGTTGAGTGTGGGTAGAAATAATTTTAAAAATCATCAGCTGAAAAGAAAGACACTAATAAACCTGACTCCACAAAAATGTAAACCATTTGTACTACAAAAATCACTATAAATAAGATAAAAATATTAGCTACAGGCAGGAAGAAGATATTTGAAGTAAATACATCTAGCAAAGATTTTGTATCTAGAATTTATAAAGAGCATAGAAATTCACTCCTAGGTAGATCCCAGAGAAACTCCTAAATATCGCTACAATGCAAAACAGGGGGAAATGTTCACTTTTTAATTTTTTGTAACTATAATCAATTACATTTTCATTAATGGAGAGAATGGAAAAGCAAATTGCGGTTTATAAATACACTAGAACATTATACATAGAAAATAAAATAAGTGGATCATAGGTATGTAGATAGATATAGAGAGAGATAATATAAATAAATTAATGCTGAATGGAAAAAGCAAGTTTTAGAAACACATATAGTACACTGTTAAATATATTTTTAATGTGCAAAATTTTGTTAACTATATTTTTGACATCTGCATTTACACCTACTTTTGTAGTAAAGGTCTGAAAATATACATGAAAATAATGAACTCCAAGTCCAAGATAGTAGTTACCTTTGGTGAGAGAAGAAGTTGGACAGGATCAAGGAGGGATACTAAAGAATCTTCAGTGATAATGTTTTATTTCTAAAAAATCAAATGAAAAGCAAAAACATTGGCAGTGTATATGACAAATGCTTAATATCAGTATGTGTGATATTATTTTCTATTTCTTATATATGTTTAAAGTCCTTTATAAGTGTTATAAGATTGAAAGGAAGAGAAAGTTATATGTCCAAATTTCTTTTCCTTTCTCTGTATCCCAGAAAATCTTGGTTCCTCTGATCCTCACCTGAGGCTCAGTCTATAGCACAGTTGGTAGAATATTATGCTGCAAGTGGGCAGGTATTTTGTGTAGGCTGTATAACTAACCATTGAATACCATGTTGTTTCTTTGGAAAAATGTCTTCTGCGTTCCAAATGACATACTTTGTGTCATTATAAATTGGGGGTTTTGTACTGTTATAAATATTTGAGTACAAGTGGCATCTTCCTTTAGCAAGAAACAGTCAAGTGACTTGTACAGCAGTTGATGGGACTATCAAGGGATTATGACCCATTCAGCTTTTGTCATGGTTCTGTGTTACTAAAAATACTGCAAAGTTTTGTGAATCCATCAGAAGATAAAGTATTGCTTTTTAGTGTTTGTAACCACTATTAAGATTATCAACTCAGTATTATTATAGACTCCAGTTCCATCCAGGTTGCTGCAAAATCATGATTTTGTTCTTTTTTATGACTGTGTAGTATTCCATCATGTATATGTACCACATTTTTTAAATCACAGAAACAAAGATCTGAATATCACATGTTCTCACTCATACAGTGGACCTTGAACATCTATCGTAATACTATAAGAAAAGGATTGAGAGTGGTGGGAAACTATGGGGGGCGGGGAGGGAGAGGAAGGGAGGTGGGATTAACAGTAGTCAATATCTGTCTGGGGATAGGGAGATACCCCTTATCAACAAGGGTGCCTGAACGATGCATATTTGTATACCTGACCCTTAACTGTACCCCACAATTTTAAAATAAAAAATATTGATTTTAAAAAAAAGATTATCAACTGCCAAAGATTAAAGCAGAACACATTTTTCTATCCATTCTGATTGGTGCTCATCAGAGTAAATCGTTGAACCCCAAAAGATCCTAGTCATGTTCCTCAGCTATTTCACACAAGCAGAATTTCTGGGACACACCCTCTGCTCTGGGCATTTAGAGTAAATATATTATTAGTGCTGATAAAAATCTTCTATTTTGAACAGAAACAATCAGCAACATTTATTTTCCTTTGGTCTGGTGTCCTCAGACTGGATTGTTTATAAAATTATTATTTTCCCTCTATGTTATACATATACAATCCAGCTTCAGCATTGGTGGTTTGGTAGTAAGTGGCCTTTCTTGTAATTAGAAAATGGTCTTGTGACAGGATAAAGCTTGAAATTGCTCTGTGAAATGAGCATGTCTTTATTTGCAAGATTAACTCAATTCCCACTGCTGTAACTGGCAGCCAAATTGCCCAAGCAGTTTGGTGACTAGATTGAACTTCTCCTACAGGAATCATGTAGCTGTACAGCTGTGGAAACACAAATTCACTCCCCCATTGTTGATTTTCTGACAGCTTTTTCCATAGAACAGTTTGAAGAGCAGAGAGCCTTGTTTCTGAGACAGAGAAGTGTTTTCACACCTGAAGTGTAATTTCACACCTTGTGTTTCTCAGCAGATCAGTGTATAAAATAACACATCAAACCAGAATAGAAAAAGATCAACATAGAAAGAAAACCACAGGTTGTAATTTGTTTCCTATCTTACAGTGCTCTTGGAGAGAACAGTAAATTACAGAGATCTGGGTTTACACTTTTAAAAGTTTGACTGTTTGTTGGGTGGGAAAATAAGCAGTAAACACTAATCAGCTTGCTGCCTGCATTGAATGAAATGTACAGAGTCATAGAATTTGGGAAATACCCTCGCATTTTGATTTTTTAATGAATAATATGCACATAAGTTAGTGGTAAAAATTGTAGTTAAAAGTTAAAAAAAAAGATAAATTAAATGATTTTAATAAAAACATCCATTCAGAAATTTTAGCAAAAGCAGACCATGTTGGTAAAATTTGGATGTCTTCTTTCCTTGCTATAAATAACTAAACATATGATGTTAGTCACTGTTTTAAAGCATTTTAGTGCAGGGTTTATAAAGTGAGGGGTTTTGCTTCATTTTACTAGTTTGATGACTTGAGACTAAAAGCAAAAGGAAAGATGAGCTACCTGGCTGTTATGTAGTTATTCATTATAAAATGTTTGTTGAAGGTCTACCACGTTAGGCACGAGACCAGCATTGAGGGTACCATGGTAAACAAGACAATCCCTCTCTCTGCCATTGGGGAACTGACTATCTTTGCAGACAAGTAAACAAGCAATAATACTGGGAAATAAGTGCAGAGATAGGCTAGAACTAGGTTTTGGTGGAGGCCACAGAAGAACTTGAGCTGATGGGAGTAGGGGAAAGAGGTCAGCAAAAAACAGCAAAGGTTGCTGGATAAAGTGATATCCAAACTAAACATAATCAGTAGAGGTCATGTGAGAGTGGATAGATATCATTGGGTTTATCAGGGCATGGAAAGAATGGACAGAAGTGAAAGGGAAAAAGAGTAGGTGACTTGGAAGGGAAGAAGTTCCATGTAATGGAATGTAGTATCTAAAGACAGCAGTGGGCAATGGGACTGGAAGATAAACAGGGCCAGAGTACAGAAATTGCACCAAGAAGCTGAGTTTTTGCCTTGAGACTAGTGGGACATACTGAAGGCTGAGTTTTTGTTTATTAATGAGAATGGCACAACTAGATCCTTATTCACAAGATCGCTTTTGCAACCCAGTGACAAGGGGATTGCTGAGGAAGCATCAGGTAATACAGGTGAGAGACACTGGTGACCTAAACTTACAATGTACACCGAGGGTTCAGTGGCCCTGGGGTGGAAAGAAGTGGGTAGATTTGGTAATGATTTAGGAAGTATAATTGACAGAGCTTGGTGACTGGTTGGATGGACTGGGGGTGAGGAATTCAGTTCTGTCTAAAACAAAGTCCTGACTTCTGATACAGATAATTGAGTGAATGATGCTACTATTCACAGAGATGGGGATCACTGGAGTAGCAGATTTGTAGAGTTGGGGCATGCTGAGTGTGAGATGTGTGTGTGATGTCAGGAGAAGAAGTGTGGTATTCAGTTGGATCTTGAGTTTGGGAGCGATGTCAGGCCAGACCTATGGACTTGGTAGTTGTCATTGAAACGATGGGAGTGGATGGGGTGGTCCAAAGTATGTGTAGAGTGAGATGAGATTCTTTAACTCAGGTGTAAAATAGTTATTTGACTATGAAAAAGAAGCAGATATGCAAAATTTTTATGTTTATCTTATTACATAATTGTGGATGAAGAACTGTGTATGTCTACAAGCATCATTGCACCATTGCAATAATGTTTCTAATGAACATCAGCGATGTGTACAGGATAGTGAGCCACATGGAACATTAGGCATTCACGGGAATCATCCCTTTCCTTAATAATTCACATAAGATGTGTTGGTCCAACAGTAAGAACTTAGGCCTAAGGATACTGATCAGTATGTTGAAGGTAGAAATTTGCAGCTCATGTGAATGTTACAACTAATCTCACAAAACAGAGATGGCTAATTTTTTCTCATCACTCCCCCCGCCTTTTTGTCTTAGATACATATGGAAAACTCTTTCTCCTCAATTCTGTGGGTCAAGAGATGTCCCGCTGCAAGACATCCATCCGGCGTAGTCAACCCAATCCTATCTATAAGGAGACCTTTGTTTTCCAGGTGGCCCTTTTTCAGCTCTCTGATGTCACATTGATGATTTCCGTGTATAACAGGCGTACTATGAAGCGTAAAGAAATGATTGGCTGGATTTCTCTGGGTCAGAACAGCAGTGGAGAGGAGGAACAAGATCATTGGGAAGAAATGAAGGAAACCAAAGGCCAGCAGATCTGCAGATGGCACGCTTTACTGGAATCCTAGGTTTGCCAGCCTGTGCTTGTGTGCTGTGTCTACCTTGCTCACCTATTGTTGCCAACTACTGACACAAGCCTGTGCATCCTGGCAAGGTTTTTAGACTTTCAAACAGAGATTCTACTAAACCCTAGGACATTCTGAGTGGGAGCTCTGGGTTTCTCAATAGTTTGATTTGGCTTTAAATATTGTAATTAAAAATTTATTTATTAAGTTACAGAAACTTAATTCACACAAGATGTGTTGGTCCAACAGCAAGAATTTAAGCCTATGTTGAAGGGAGAAATTTGCAGCTCATATGAGTGTTACAACTAATCTAGCAAAACAGAGATGGCTAATTTTTTATCACTCCCTCCCCCTACTTTTTTGTATGTGTATGTGTACACATACACAACCAGGTGTCTGTATTGAAATTGTTATTAAAGTTAAGATAATCAATAATGAGTTAATTTATGCTAATAGATTACTAAACTTTGGTTCAGACTATGGGATGAAGCGTCTCCTGCCGTCTCTGTTTACTTGACGAGTAACCTGAGATTGCAAGGGAGCTGTTAAATGCTACTATTTGTAACCACTTTGGTGTATGACTCAGAATTTTCTTAACATGGTACAAAAACTCCAAAACAGAAATGAATCAAATGCTGAGACTCATAGAAGATCTAATTGTAATCTATAATAATCTCTTATTTCACATTTTCTCATTATCAAAGAAAGCTGTTTAACTAACAAGCAAATATTATAAACATGCACATATAAAATAAATTTGTATTAATTAAATACCTGTTATCTTACATATTATGGTTTCTATGAGATTTGATTAGATGAATCATTTTCAAGCAAGAAGAGTTTAAAAAACTATTGTTGTACGACACCTTGTCTCCTTTTCAATATGTAAGATTTCAAACTTGTAACTTTCGAGGTTTTTATGCTGTCTCTCTCACCTAATAAATTCTTACTGAATAAGAAGAAAACCAAAATACCTATTTCAGTCATGGATTTATTGCTTTTTCTGAATCTGGTAGTCTTTTGGATTATACTTTTTCTACCTTCAATTATATATACTCATACATATATTTTGAATGTACTCCTGCATGTAAATCATGCTGTTTTTTAATGCAGTGTTTTCCATCATTAGAGCATAGTAAATTTCATACAGTGGATCTTTAATAAATGTCTGATTGACTCTTGAAAGTGAACATGTTATAACACTTGTGAATGAAGAAGTATTTTCAGCTTGTACAGAGTGACACTAAAGTTTTGAGCATTTGAAGTGCCTATAACTGTTATTTTTTAATGGCATTTGCAGCACCATATATTAGTCCCTTACCTGCATTCTGGGCATGTTCCATTCATTATGCTGATTTGTATGGTTATGAGCATGAAATTTTACTTAAGAATTACTTTTACATATTTACAAAATGCATGTTTATGTTCCGTATTCTTAGATCTGAGCCCTTAATTTCAATTACTTTAAACTGGCAGTGATAAGAAAAGAAAAAGGAAGGCATGTATGTACATTTAACCCTGGGCGCAATGTGCAGCTCTTCTGAGCAATTGCTCAGTCACTTATTTTTAGCTTCTGTGTTTCATTGTTGACTTTTTCCTGTCTGTGGGAAGAGTGATAGCTAGTGATGGCTGTATACAGTTAAAAACACATAACTCCTCCTCAGCTCTACATTTTGACAGATTGTAAGCGTAGGCTGTAACACTTGAAGAACATATTCCTTACAGTGTGTAGTGGTTATCCTGACAAGACCACACTAGGGCACAGGACAACTCTACTATGATTTCAGGGTTCCGTCTTTGAAAGAAATTGTTTTATATGGAAGAATCAGAATTTGCAAAATAGATTAATATCTTCATTTCAGGTCACAGGAGTTTCATGTATATTGCTGCTTGGTTATTGAGAATAAGTAATACAACCATGTTCCTTTGGGTTTTTACCCTACCTTTCTTTGGGAAACCTCAAAGTGCTTTTTCAGCATTATCTCCATTAACTTCTGAGTGGTCTTTGCAGTGTGGCTAAGTCATTGAGTAGAACTGAGTGCGATTGATTAAACAGTGGCACAAAGAATTGGCTTTTCACATTCCTTACTCTCTTTATGCCTTGTGTTTAAAGGGAAGTAGAACAGCCTGGCTATGCTTTCTGTTTTGCAGTAACATAATAGCAGCATTCACTTTAAAATTTACATTTGAAAAAAATCTGTATATACTGTAGACAGCCTTGAATTTTTTCCTCTCATATTTTCCTACTCTATGTGTTGCTGCATCCCTTGTTTTATGATACTCAATAATTACCTATACTTCATTTTATACTCCTCTGACCCACCCATTTTAAGGTTTTCTGCTGGTGTCATGAAGATATCTTTGTGTACTGGCTCTGCTTTCCAGTGGTCTGCGTATGATACAGTTTACAGGAATGTGCAGCATTTTTAAAAAGGGATACCTGAAAAGAATTTTTAAAAAAAATTTTATAATATTACTATGTTGGTGCTACTCACCATGTAAGATACATGTACATCTTGAATATACAGCAACATTCACCCTCAGCTGATTGTATAAACCTGAAATGCTGAAGACAAGATACATTGAAATATGGGGCTAATTTTTTTTTTACCTTGATTTAAAATTCTAGTTTAGTAAGATCTTTTTATTTTGTGCATTTAAACTTCCTTATTTTCTTGGCAAAGTCTAGATACAAATGCATTTAACATTTTTCTCACTTGAGCTTTTGCATTTACATTTGCTTTTCAAAAGAGTTATGAAAGATAATTAGTTGGTTCTGCAGTAAAAAAAAAAACTGCTTTTGCCTGTTTCATCTAACTAATAATTAATATCTCATAGGGAGATTTGACATTGAAGCATTACCAGTTTTTGTTGTATGAATAGTTCTTTCAGTGATTTTTTTTCCCCCTGAAGAGCATGCTTTAAAAATAATATTGTTGAGAGTAAATGCTATGCTAGGTTGTTGGAAATCTGCTTTATAGTGTGCCTTCTTTCAGGGTGTGAGCTTGCTTACACTCGACTGAGAAGTGCTGGTTTCGCCAATCACGGTGGTGGCTGTTGTACTCTCTGCTCCCCTCTGACTATTGTTGAATTTTTAAATGGACCATTCACCAGGCAGCCGAACACCTGCTCTCAGTTCCCTTTCCTTCATGGCCCCCAGCGTGATGCACAGTTGTTTTGGACCCTGTTTTTGCTGATGCTGCATAAGTGTCTTGCTTTTCCTAACATAAGAAGAATTTGTAATGCCTTTGGATGTATTATACGTGGCATCCCATCTGTATGAAGTTTGAGAAAAAATCATCACCATGTTTGCAAGGGGTAAAAGAGTATGGTATTGCACAGTCCTTCACTTTAGGTGCTATTAACGCTGACATCTTTCAATGACAGTTAACGGATTGGCCTCAAATGTTTGATATTCTCTGTAGTGCTAGGTGCTAGTGAGCCTGAAACATAGTTTCTGCCTTTTCAGTGTGTAGATCTCATGATATTTTACAAATTATTGCTACTTCCTGGTCAGACACTGTTTTAGATGACCTCATCTGAGAACCAAAACTCTTTTCTTTCCATGTGAAGTATTATTTAAGTAGAAACTACCATCAGGTTAAGTAAAAGTGCTTCTCTGATAGCCACTAAATTGATTTAATTAACGATTCAGTGCACAGATCAAGCTGTGGACTTCCCAAAAACCTGGCTATCCTTTTTCAGCAGAGGATTTAGTATATTAAAAGCAGAAAAGTGAGTAGGAAGGGATTATTTGTAAATGACAAAACCAAATGAAGGCATATTCTTTACTGATAAACAGGACTAGAAAACACATGTGGTATCTCCTCTTACTTTTAAGGAAATTGTGGTTAAAGAACAATACACTCTATTTAATCCAGGATAAAAGCAAATGATAGATAATTCTGAAATGGCAAAAGCATTTATGTCTTAAAAATTAGAAATTGGTTGGGGGCAGTGGCTCAAGCATGCAATCCCAGCATTTTGGGAGGCTGAGGTGAGAAGATTGCCTGAGCCCAGGGGTTTGAGACTAGCCTGAGCAACTTGGCAAGACCTCATCCTATAATAAATAAATAAATAAATGAGCTGGATGTGGTGGCACATACCTGTAGTTCCAGCTACTCAGAAGTCTGAGGCAGAAGGATTACTTGAGCCCAACAGGTTGCTGTGAGCATGCCACTGCACTCCAGCCTAGGCAACAGAGTGAGATTCCAACTCAAAAAAAAAAAAAAAATCATTTAGGCAAAGCTATTAAAAAAACCAAAATAACAAAAATGTCATACAGCATATATATGGAAGAATTATATAATAAATAAATAGGCTGGATACATTTAGCATCCTCTGACATGTAGTATTCAAGAAGAGCAAACTAATAAACCAAAATACATTTTAGATTAACTACATCTTATTTTTCTCGACCCTGATGACTTTTGTAAAATACCTAAAGATGGGGGAAGTTGAACTGTTCTAAGACAATGATGTTCAGTGATTCAACACAATAAATTTGGCAAACTGGTCCTAGCCTGAGTGTGGATGGAACTCTGCTAACCGTGTGACCTTAAGAAAATTACTTAGCCAGGCTGTGTCCCAGTTTCTTTAACTGGAAAATGGAAATAATAGCTACCTCATAAGGTTTTAAAAAATATACAAATGAAATCATAGTGTAGAGCCTGGCCTATAGTTAGCATTCAATATTTCTTCCTCACAATCATGCTTGAAAAAGAAAACATTCAAGATTTATTTCTCCTTCTAGCAAAAGTTTTTATTACACTAGAGAATTATTAAGAACAATTTTCAGATATTTAAAAAGGATAGGCTCATGAAACCAGCCTGGACTTGTAAAGGAGGTAGATCTCATCAGGACAACCTAATCAGAGATTAGCCTGGTATGTAGAGAAAATTGAATCTGAATAGAGTCCGTCTGAGGTATAACCAAGTCTTTGTCTTTTGTCCCCTTAGTTCGGAGGGAGTGCAAACCTTGGTGCTTGTGTGTACATCTTGATCAATCACACACAGGCCTCTCCTCACTCCAGCTCTACTATTTATATATGGACAGAGTACCTTGTCCCCATCAAGAGTTGGTGACAATAGCAATGTGACTGCATAGTGCCACTTTGATCTGAAAAAGTAAAAGGGTGTGGCACTATAACAACACTATTTTAAAAATGGACATCACTTTTTTGTTACCTACATTATATATCCATTTTATATCTTTATAGGTAAAAATTTATAAACGATCTAATAACACAGTTATCAGAACTTAGCTTACTGTTTAACTGGAAAGTTCTACTCAGAACCAGTTATTTATCACTGCTTCCCTTATGAGATCGTAATGAAAGAAATCCTATCAGTTGCTTCTAACGTCTTTTTAAAATAGTTTCAAGAGTGGCTTCTTGATATAATAGAAAGCATGTTCACTTGTTCTCAAGTGATTCAAACCTGGAGTAAAGAGGAAGAAACTTTGTCAACATTATCTGGAGACGTCATCAGGAACAGACCACCTCAAGTTGAGTGTAACCAGGTGTCAGGAACCAGTTACGTGCTGCTTGTAGTTTTAAACTAACCATGATTTGGGGATGGCGAACTGTGAGTCTACACTCCCAGTATCCCCAGGTTGCCAAAGTGATGTCATGAGTAACAGGTTTCCCAATTAAGGAGAAACATAGAGACACTGGAGAAGAATCACTTACCTTCTCGCTTTTAGTTGGGAAGAATTCAACATGTAAGGATGATAAAGGAGTTTGGATGGAAGACAGAAATCATGGAATGATTTCTAATAACAACTATCCAGAATGTAGAGTTCTAACCAAAGAATGCACTTTCTCTTCTTGACCATGTGGATAGATTCAGAGCATTCACCTATATTGAATCAAAAGAGTTCAAATTAGATCAAAAGAGAATTATGTGAAAGTTGTTTCTTATTAATTCCAAATGTCTTCATTCGATTTCTTTTAGTCTAGCACTGTGCTAT